ATTTGGTGTGAGTAACATACTATTGTTGGCCATGATTCAAATTATTATTATTATTCTGTTGTTGATTCTGGGTAATACAAAACTAAACACAAACATCCAAAATACAAAATCAATCATATGATTTTATTTGAAAATCAATAAAACGTTGGTTGATTACCAAACAACACAAATGACACAGAATTAATTAAATTAACCAGCTAAAAAAGTTTTTCATTTGAAGAATATTTTTTTTTATTAAAAAGGGAACAATGCCTTAATGATGAAATGAGTAAGCTTAAATTCATTTTTCCTGATGATGATGATGATGATAATGACGATGAACAGAATTCATGCCAAACCGTAGATTCCCATCATTTCCAACGTTATGAATTATTCAGTTATTCAGTTACTGTTTACTTTCACTTTAGTTTAATTATTTCTCCCCGTTTTCTTTTCCTTCTCTCGTTCCCTCTCTTTAAAAAAAATGGTTTTTTCCTGAATATAAGTCATCTTATTTATAAAAATATATCACTTTGATGAATCAAAAGAAAAGAAAAATTCGTACATTATCTACGTCATTTATTCAAAAAATGTTTTTCTTTGCCTTGATGAAATACATTGATGAAATGCTGCTTTGTTGAGATACTGCTTTGTTGAAATTGCTTAGCTAGGCTTTGATCAATAAATATCGTCTGATTAATAGAAACATCTATAGATCTATCACCATGGTTATATCAGTGAGAGAGAGAGAGAGAGAGAGAGAGAGAGAGAGAGAGAAAGAGAGAAAAATGATGATAATGATAATTCATTCACACCACAACTATAACCATCAACAAAAAAAAACAACAATAACTAATAACCTCTTTTGTATACTCTTCTTTTAGTGATTCTTTGAGTGCCAAAAAAAAAAAATTCTGCTTGGCAAAATACGAAAAAACAAACAGAATTCATTCGTTCATTATCATCATCACCATCACCATCATCAACGTAAAGAATTCATAGATTTCATCAAGATTTTTGTCATCACAACCATGATGTACTTTCTTTATTTAATCATTTCAAATCGTTGTTATTTTCAACAATTAACAAACAAAAAAAATTCATCATTTTTTTAAAAAAAGTACAAAAACGAGATTTTGAAATAATAAAAAACGAAACGAAAAAAACTTGGAAAAACAATAAATTTTTTGTTGGTGATTCTCTTTACTCACTGATTAATATAAAAAACAAACAAAACAAAACCGGAAGCAATTTGGTTAAAAAACACAGAAAAAAATCCAATGTTGAAGAAGACAATGTTTTTGTTGTTGTTGTTGTTGTTAAAAGTAAAACTGTATAAATATATTCTCTATATAAAAAAAATGATTGTGAAGTTATCATTATCATCGATTGATGAATGAATTAAGGTGTCTTCCATATGGTATTAAATAATTCCATAAAACTATCATAAATCATAAATGTAATTGCAACATCTAAACAAACACGTCCTAAACGTGGTACTGTTCCTTTATAGAATGCAAAAAAACCTTCATTTTTAGCAATTTTTATAAAACAATCAACAGTTCCTTTATATTTTTTTGCTTCAAGACCTTGCATTCGAGTTTTAACAACATCGATTGGCGTATTACCAAATACGGATGCAGCACCAGCGAAAGCACCAAATAAACCGGTAACAAGTTTATTTACTTTTTTATTTGGATCACCACCACGATACCAATCTTTTAATGTTTCCATAACAAAAAATCTGATTGCTTGATTTGATCCTTGTTTCATAATTGTTGCCGTTAAACCTTGATATGTACCACGAATACCTTCATGACGAACAATTTCTCGTACACCATGAAAAAAACCACGAAATTTTGGATTCGTACTATTTTGGTCATTAATAAATTTTACTTTAACAGTTTCCATTGGTGTTACGGCAAATATTGCTTCACAAACACCAGCACCTAAACCACAAAGTAAACGATTCGATATTGATAGATTTCCTTTTTCATCAACACTACGTTTTTTAAATTCTTCAAATGCACCAAATCTAAATACAGAAAAGAAAAAAGGATTAGATGAATATTTTAGGCATTATATTTGTTTTGAAACACTAAACCTGACAGCTGATTTTGGAATGGAACCATAAACTAATACACTAAGACCACGATAAAGACCAAAAAAACCATGTGAACGTACTGTTTGTCTAACAACATCAGCAATACCATTATANTTTAACATATTCTGTTGGGAATGTTATACAAATTTCAATTCCACCGGTAATACCACCTTTTGAGAAAAGAGAGAAAACAAAACAAAGAAAAATCAATCAATGAATCAATCAATGAATCAATAATATATTACCTGCAACAATTCCTTTGATTGTTTTTTGAAAATTTTGTGATGGTTGTGTTGTTGTTGGTGGTGATGGACCAGTGATAATGGTAGCACCCGAAGGTTTCAATGATGATGAATTATTATTGGACATTATTGATTAATGAATTTTGAGGTATTTTCTAAAAATTTGAAAACAAAAAATGGATGTTTTAAAATCTAATTAGAATCACTCTCTTTCTCTCTCTCCTTTACTCGAGGAAAATTTCGAATCAATTCGAATTGGCTATTGCCACCATACTGTTGTTGATGACATTGTAGGTTCGATCAGCGGTCGATTTTTTCTAAATATGATGTGATGTGTGATGTGTGTTTTGTGTATTTGTTTGTTTTTTTGAGTGATAATAAATGTACGAAAATAGGGAGAGAGAGATAGAAAGAGAGTGAGTATATTGAATGAAATGAGTTTTTTTTTTGTATTTTTTGGTGGGATTTGATAAATCCTATCAGGCTCTATTAGACAACAACAACAACAGTGTCGACGTCATCTTTCTCTTCGAAAAAAAAGCTGTTCGCGGCTGTTTAAAATCGATAAAATTATCGTTGATGGTGGATAATTAAGAAGAAAAAACTAGAAACATTTTGCATCGATAATGATGAAGGAAATGATTTCAAGTTGAAAACAAAATCTTTACGGATGTAAACTTGTATTTTTTTCTTCGGAAATTTTTGTAATTAAACTAAAAACATTGAAGTTTGAGAGAGAGACATTCTCTCCAAATTTTTTTTTGCATCGGGAATCATGTTCTTTTTTTTCTCTTCCGGAAATCTTTTATTTGTGTGTGTAACCAAGAGTAACAATCATTCATTTATTTCAGGTGTGGAAAAAAACTAAGATTTTTGGTGATGTTATTTTCCATCACAAAAAACAAACAACCAAAAATAATGCATGTGTATATGACATGTAAAATGACGCCATACCCATGCTGATGATGATGATAATTGAATGAATGTGGTGACGATGATGATGATGATTAAGATGATGACGGAATGGTTAGGATTTTTTTTTTTGTTCTTAGTCAATAATCATCATTAGTTGATCATCATTGTTTATAGAAACATTTGACATACACTGATTGATTGGAATGTTTTTTTTGTTGATGTTTTTGTTNTGGTGATGTTATTTTCCATCACCAAAAGACAGACAACCAAAAAAATAATACATGCATGTGTATATGACATGTAAAATGACGCCATACCCATGCTGATGATGATGATAATTGAATGAATGTGGTGACGATGATGATGATGATTAAGATGATGACGGAATGGTTTGTTCTTAGTCAATAATCATCATTAGTTGATCATCATCATTGTTTATAGAAACATTTGACATACACTGATTGATTGGAATGTTTTTTTTGTTGATGTTTTTGTTGATGGAAAATCAATGTTTATCAAACGGAATATATTTCTTTCTTTGTTTGTTTCGTTCGATTAGTAAACAAAACTAATGAAGAAATTTGAATCCACCACCATTCATATTTGTTTGGAAAAATTTGTTTTGTTTTGGAATGAAGAGAAACGAATGAAATAAACAAAATTTCAACACTGTTTTGTTCTGTGTGTGTGTGTGCCATTTTCGTAAACAAAACAAAAAACAAACAACATCGCGAAAGCGAAAGAGAAAAACAAGCAAGAAAGCAAGCAAGAGAAAACGTAATTTGCTGTTTCTCTCTCTGTATGTATAATTCCAAAATTCGAGTGTGAGTATTGTTGTTGTTGTTGTTTGGACTCGAACAAAATCCCATTGAAACAAAAAAAAAACACTGAAAAAAAATTCACTACTGAAAATCGTTGCCGCATTCATTTTGTTAATTTGTTAATCTGTTTGTGATAATCATCATAACTTGAATTTTTAAATCAATTTGCTAGATTTGAAAACAAAATTTGTTAAATAAATAATTTGAAAGATGATAGTGATAATGGTAAGGATTTTCATTTTGATCATGATGTATTCGATTCGATTTCATTGATGATGATTATGCAAATTTTCTAATTTTCCAAACAGATAATGATGCGGTTATGACTGATAATGAATGATGGTACAAAGATTCGAATGAATTTATTTTATGGCTGGCCATGATCTTGAATCTCCTTGACAAACCATTATCGATAATCATAACGGATTTTTAGATTTTTAAATTTAATGATCGAATAATGGTACCTCTTTAAATTTCGTAATCATCATCCTCTTTATAATGCGCATCCTTTAATGTTATCATCATCATCATATTATAAATATCATCCGTGTCTTGATCAAATTTCCTCATCATCATCATCATCATCTAATTATCATCATCATCATTCGTACAATGTGACTTTCTTTCTTCTTTTTTTCTAAATTTTGTGACGTTGTGAATTTCTCTCCTGCGTTTGTGTGACCGTCATCGATTTGTTTGTTTGTTCGTTTTGTTGTATCTTATTTCCTTTTTTGTTTAATCGATAAAAAATTAATTGGTTTGTTGTTTTTTAAAAAAATATTTCAATTTCAATTCGAATGTTTTAATTTATTTTGTATTTTCTTCTTTTAGAAAGAAAGAAAACAACAACATCAACACAAACTACGTTGCATTTGTTTTGTTTTTTATTGGATTTTTTCTTGATTCTTGATTTGTGCTATGTCTTCGAACGAAATTGGTCATCATAATCATCATCATCCACGAAATGTCGATTACAATGATCATCATCATCATCATGAATTGATTGAAGAAGATTCTTCTTCAATCAATAATGAAATTGATTATCAAATTCCTGATATTAAAGAATTTGATCCAAAAATTCGTGATCTACTTGATGATTTGAATCGTTATTCAACAAAAATCAATCAATTGGAACAATGTTTTCAAGAAGAAAATTCAAGATTTCATCGTGTTCTTAATGAAAGTTCTATACAATTGAATAAAATATTTAAAAAATGTGGTGAACGAAACATTTCTACCTCTCGACCTTATTATGAAGCCTTACAAAAATTAAACGAGTATGTTATAACAGAATTAACCCTTTTATAACTTAATATAACATTTTTTTTTATAATTAGCCTTAAAATTAAGTGCCAAACAGCAGCTTTAAAATTTGAAAAATTTAATGAACTTTATATGAATGCTAAACAGGCTATTTCGGATGCTGAATTAATGTTTCATAAAAATATTAAAGATGATGGCCATTTTGATCAATATTGGCAGGAAAAGCTTAATATTGCTAATTCAAAAGTAAGATTTTATTTTTTTCAAATATTCAAACAATCTTTTAAAATTCATTGTGTGTTATCTACCACCATCATCAAATAGTTTATGGAAGCTAAATTAAAACGTGAAGAACATGAATTAGAACATTTAAGTTTAATGGCACAAATACGTTTACTTGAATATAATTCAAATGATTTGAAAACAAAACATAAAAATTCAATTAAACGAGCCAAGTAAGCTGATTTTTGTTCTTGTGTAATGATAATGAGTAAATAATTTAACTTTTGTTTTGTTTGTGCAGGCCTTATTTTGATGAAGCACATAATATTGATTTAAAATTGAAAAAAATTCGTGATGATACAAAATTATTGGAAGAAGAATTGGCCAAATGTAAAAGTCAATATTCAACAACATTAAAAAATTTAGAAAATATTTCGGAAGAAATTCATGAAAAACGTGCCCAATATATTGCCAAATCATTAAAACGGGAACCAGGTGTTGGTGCCGAAATTATCGATCAAAATTGCCGTAAGTTTTCAATTTTCGGATTTTGTTTTGTAAATTGATTGATTTTTCATTTCCAGTTGAAATTGCTGAAAATTTATCCAAAATTGAATTGAATCCTGATGAAAAAAATACCGCAACTGATTTTCATTCATTATCAACAACATTATCATCATCATCATCATTATCATCTTGATGTTTTAACAAAAAAATATCTGTGACCGAAACAAAACAAGCATAAATCTCTGATCATATATGACCCCTATGTATTATGATTATAAACTGAAAAAGCATTTTTAGAGAATGTTTCGGGAATATTTATTTATTCCAATAATCATCGATCTCTAACTATATATTGATTCGTTTCTGCTGTTGTAAAAAACGATATATATTATTATTTTTTTTTTGTAAAAATTATCATTATTATCATTATTATTTTTGTATTATTTGTATTGAATTTGTTATATTTTTTTTCGAAAAGATAGAAGAAAAAAACAATAAATAAATTATTTCAGATCAATTTATCTTTATTAGAATAATAATAATAATAATAATTAAATTCACATTGATGATGATAATAATAATAATAATATATTAAGTAATGATAATGAATGAACACGAATTTGGCAAAAAAAGAAAAGAAGATTTTTCATTAAGTAGAATCATCCATTCGGATATTGAAATCCGAAACCGGTAATCACAGGAATTATGTTGTTGTAATAACCGGCGAAGGTGACATGGCTGATGTTTCGATAATATTCGAAGCGATAGGTGATGACATAGAATCATCATCATTATTATTATTATTAATATTGTTGTTGTTGTGGATTTTAGTAATAACTTCCAGTGTTGATGATGATGATGATTGAATTTGTTGAACATCAGTCGGTGTTGGAGGTTGGCTATCAACAGGTGAATCTGAATCGCCATTACCACCATTTGGTGTTATTTTAGTACCCGTACCACCAATATTATGTACATGACGTTTATGTTTATAAAGACCAGATTTCCATGCATAAGCTTTTCCACAAATATTACATTGATTCATTTTATTTAGGCCATGTGTTCGTTTGATATGTAATTGTAAATGATCTTCATCGACAAAATATTTTGGACAATGTTCACAATAGAAAAAATTTTGGCCAACATTCATTTGATTCATTTTTTGTGCAGCCATAAACATTGAATCAAGCATTGAATTTTGATTACGAGACATTGAATCTAAATATTCATCATCTTCAGTACCACCATCAGCATCTTCTTTACCTTCTGAACCACAATTGTTGTTAATATTTTCATCCGAATTATCCCATTGTGGTGCAACAAGAACACTTGGATCCATTTCATATGTATAGTTTACTTCATGTGATTCTTTATGAAAAAAATTTATAAAAATCATTGAATGAACATCATTTACACATACCATTACGATTATTATCAAAATGATGATTTGAAAGTTTCATATGGCCACCACCACCAACACCATTCATAGCATTTTCAGCCGTTTCATTTCGTTGATTTTCTTCATTTTCATCACATGAATCACTTAGAGGAGAATTACCACCATTTAAATCTAAAGAAACTCCAGGGCCCTATATCATCAATAATAAAATAGATCAATAATGTCAAAATCAAACTAAATTATAACATACATTTACACGAGTAATTGTTATGGAAGGCACTTGATCAATTTGTTGTTGTTGTTGTTGTTGATGATGTTGTCGATGTTTATCAATCTTAAGATCTAATGTTCCATTACAATCATAAACACCACCACCATTATTAACATTAACATTACCACCATTACAGGATTTCATTAATTGTTCCAAATGGATCATTTTTTTTATCATAGCATTTGGAGAATGTTGTTGTTGCGGTTGCAGTTGCTGTTGATTACTACAATTCTGACTTAATTGATTCAATCCTCGTTGTAAAGCAGCTTCTAATTGTGATTGTGGTTCGTTATTATTATTAAGATGAGAATAAAGTCGACGGAAATCGGCAGAAGATTCACGTAAATGACGTGTATTAACATGATGATTATTGTACAAAGAAGAATCTTGTGATTGTTGTTGTATATGGCTACTACCACCACCACCATTCGATTTCATTCGTTTAATTTCAACATCATTTATTTGCTGTAAATAACGTTTATTTTCCTAATATTCAAAAATTTGAAAAATTATCATTAAAAACATAATAAATGGATAAAAACTTACTGTTAATAAACTTGTTGTTGAACGATGATTACCATTTATCATTGATTTCATTGATGGTATTGAAACATTACCATTAAGTAAACCATTACCACCATTATTGAATGGTTTTCGGAGAAAATTTTCAAAACCACGAATACGAAGTTTATGTGCAGCTTGTCGTAATGTTTCAACTTTATCACGAGATACAACAATCTGACCACGATATATAAATTCAAGCATTATTTCCATATCTTCAAATGAAATATCGGTTATAATTAAAACAGGTAACTGATTATGCATTTTAATCGATGTTAATAAACGACGAAAATGATCAGAACCAGCACAAAGTACCATACGATGTGCATGAATATTACGTCCTTGACAATTAATAATTACATCGGATAATGTTTTACTACGATAAAAATCTTCAAATATACTGAACATATCACCAAAATGTGATGGATGTTTAAAATAATAATTTTCCATATTGGAAATTTTAAATCAAACAAAACAAAACAATAACGAAATGAAAAATCTTTGAACAAAATGATCGACAAAGAAAAAACAATTTTAGAAATTATTACTGTTGTTGTCAATCAATCAATGATGATGATGATTGTTTGTCGGACACAATAAAATGATCATTTTTTTCTTTTGATTAGAGTTTTTTTTATCAGTGATATTCAAATCGAATCAAAAAAAGATCTGCCATCATTTGTGTGTGTGTGATCATGTCTGTGTATGATTGGAACATGAATCATTTATGAATCGATTAATAAGAGATATTATTGAGATCAACAACAACCAAAAAAAAAAAGATGCGATTTTAAAAAAAAAGTTGAAATTTAAATGATGAGTTGACAATGAACAATACACTTTGTTTTTTTTTCAACGGAGTGGTATTATGATATTAATAATACTGTATCATTGATAATATTCGAAATTATTATTATTATTAGATCGAGTCATTATTGACTCAATTGAATAATTTTTTCAACAAAACAAAACAAACTTGACTGTATTTTGATATAGATTTTGATGATGATGATGATGATGATGAGGAAAACACATCAGACATACATTTCATACTTTGGACGAAATACATCCAAGAACAAAAAAAGAAGAAAAGAAAACACAAATTCACAATGATTCATATAATATACACCTTGTGTGAATCAATATCTGTCGATATTGCTGGTGTTTAATGCTGATGGTGTTTGTTGTTGTTGATGGAAGCAAATTACACCATTGAAAAACAAGAAGATCAGATCATCATTCCACAATCAACAACAAAAAAAAATCTTCTGAAGTTTTGAGGCCTTTTTTCTTCTTGCTTTATAAATAAAAAAAATCATAAATGAATGTACCGTGAAAGTAAAAGAGAGAGAGAGGAGAGAGAGTCTATTCCATTCTTAATGTAATTTTTACACACACACAAGCACCACACTATTCACATTCCAAAAGGCAATAGGAATACCATTTTTTTCTTTTTTTGAAATACTGTGTGCTCTGTTTACAAGCTCATAGTCCAAATGGGGTTATGCGTTTCGAATACTTTGATGGTCGAGAGTGGGGGGATAGAAATAGACTTGTATAAGGTTATGATCCTTGGTCCCTCTTATGACCGATGATGATGATCATGATGATCCGGCCACTATTTTTGGTTTTATTAATATTTTGAAGGCAGGCTATGGTGTACTGTTGCTGCTGCAAATGAACTTGTTGTTGTTGCCTTGATTCATGTATGTTTTTTGGAGAGGTATTCAAATAATAATAATAAGGTTTGGTCTGGTTTGGTGTGCAACAAGTTTCTGGAATGAAAAAAAATGATAGAATGAATGCTACCAGTATATCCATTTTTTTACTTACTTACTTAAAGATAACGCGAATAAAATGAATTTTGAACGGATATGAACAGAGTATATACAGACTATTTTTCGCGTGAATATTATTGGATGGCCTTAAAAATCTAGCATATAATCATTATGAATGACCTTGTTGTTGTTTGGTTGTTGTTGGTTTGTTGATTGGTTTTTTTGAAATATTTGCAGCAACTTTTTAGGAATCCAAATCAATAGTCCAAAATCACAAGGTTACCCACGGCTACCATGTTATCATTCATCATCATGGAAATAAAAAAAAACATGAACAAGGTTCGTCTTGTTCTCTTCGTTTCTTCGTTTTTATCTTCATGTTAATGTGTGGCCCCATTGCTTTTTGTAAATGATTTTGATGAATCAAACAAACAAACAAAAAAAGAAGAAAACTAACATAAAAACAAGGTAAATAACACAACAGAACGGAAACTTACTTAGATTCTTCAATCTAGCCAAATCAAGTTTCTAGTTTTCGTTTTTTTTCGTTTGATAAAGGCAGGTGGTTTTTGTGTTTATCTTCAAAAAAAAAATGATTCGAATTCGAACATTAACGGAACATTTTTTTTTTGTTGAAAAGGTAACGGATTGGGTGTGTATAGGTGTGTGTGTGTGGTATGTTGAAATAGCCAAAAAATTTTTTCGAATTCGAATGTTTTTTTTCCCGTTCCATTCGAATATGATCAACATGTGTGTGTGTCGATGGTCGATGGCAAATTATCCAAGAAAATCATTATAATTCATTTCATGGTTCGATTCATTCATATGGGACAATTTTTAGTTTTTTTTTTTGGAAATAACTTTTGTTTTGTTTGATGATATGTTCTGTGTTTTGCAGTCTACCGATATATATCCTATATAAACATGACTCCCCCTTCAATATATAAAGATTTTTTGTTTTTTTTCAATGGAATGATGGGTGTTGTTATCATTCCAGTAGCCATAAAAAAAATACAAAGGTCAGTACAATTTTTTTTTTACCCACCACCACCACCACCATCATCATATTATGATCATCATAATCATATTAGACTTTGTTTTGGTAATTATTATTATCAAAGGGCCTTGAGGGCTTGATCTTTCGTTTTGGATCTTCTTTTTTCGACCTTGTTCTTTTTATTTTTTTTTTGCTGTTATCGATGGTTGTCCGTTGTTTTCCATTTTCCAAGAATATATATTGGTTAAAACTGGTTGATGATTGAAAAAAATGAAATAAAAAATAAGAAGCAGAAGCAGCTGTTGAATGACCAAAATGTTCGATTCGAGGCCAAAAGAAGAAAAAAAGACTGAAAATTGTTAATCATCATCATCATCATCATCAACTTCATCCGTCGAAACGAATGGATGATATTTTCTTCTTACTTGATGGTTTGTGTTTATGGTTCTTTTTTTTATTTATTTATCCATTCATTCATTCATTCATTCATTTTTACCATTTTTTTTAATGTTTAGTAAAACAAAACGAAAATTCGTCTCAACCAAAAAAAAAAATATATAATGTGTCTGTATGTATACGTTGGACGAAATCGAGCGCGCGAATTCACCTTCAAGGACAATCATCATCATCATCATCATATAATGCAATCAATCGATCTCGACCAGCCAACTGACCGGCCAAATGGAAACGGGCGGCAAAAAAAAAAATAATATTCAAGAATATATCTTTTCAAGAAGAAGGAAAAAAATACGGAGATTATTTTGACAAGAAATAGCAAGAGAGAGAAAGAAAGAAATGAGAGTAATAACTAAGGTAAAGAATGGTCAATTTTACTTATCAATTTGATTATGGACAATGTCTTGCTGGGTCAAATTGGACAACAACAACAACAACAACAACAGAAAAAAAATGACCAACAAAATAACAGATTGGTAGCACGAATCGAATGGTGGTGGTTCTCACACACAAACACTTGGCCATTCATCAAGGATATATTCCTATCTTATATACTCTAATCATTATTATCATCCATCCATCCATCCTGGCTTCAAGGCCAAACCAAAACCAAATATTTTTGTATATGTGTGTGTGTGTGCCTTCAAGGCAAATCTTTACTTTGTTTTGTCTTTGTTTTCGAAAGATTCAATGAAGAAGAAAAAAAAAGACAAAAACCAATTTCCAGAAGAAGAAGAAGAAAAAAAAATCGAAACAAAACATGAATCCAATTCCAACTTTTTCATACGTTTTCTCTCATATCTTTCAATATTATTTATTAGCTTTTGGCAAGGTCGATCTTTAAACAAAACAAAAAATTCATTGGTAACCGGATAAAAAAAACATATAAAATGACATTAATAAGAATCTTTTTTTTGTTGATGACTTATGAACATCATTATCATATTCTTCTTCATTCTCCATATAAATGGCCAGGATGTTCTTCAAGAAGAAAGAATTCAAATCATGAGAACGGATGGGAGAGCTGAATCTATCTGTTTGTGTGTCCAAATACCAATTACCATTATACAAGAACGGATATTACATATGTCATCCTATGATAGAAATGAAATGTAAAGAATTCTTATCCTTTATAATCAATGAATGAAAAAAAAGGTTACCTTGTTGGACAACTTCTTTTATTTTTTTTATAAAGAAAGCACAATACAGCACACACATTGAAAGACCTGAAAACCTGTCCATGAAAATGTCATAAGATATCAATTGGTGAAGATTATTCTTTTCTCAAAACTCTGAACAATTTCATTATGAAATCAATTTTATCAAGAAAAAACCTTTTACATTCGAATCGTTCGAAACTATATTAACAATATTGACCACCAGTGGTCGACACAGTATTCTTTTTCTTCTTTTTTTTTTGGCGGTTTTATCCGTTATATATTTCATTATATTGGTTGTTGGTGCAAATTTTCATTTGAAAATTTTTCATTTTACGTAAAAATATTTGCGTCCACAAAAAAAAGACAAAGAAATAATAACGATATAGCGATGACCCTGAAAAACGACAATACAAGCAAGAATCCCTGGGTGAATATACCTGGTTTGTGTTCTGGTTTTCGTTTTCAACTAAGGGGGATTCTGGAACATCATTCTATAGCAATTTTGCACTGAATTTCTTTCTCACTATATGAAATGAAATTCTTGTGAAAAAATTGTGTCGTCGTTCGTACGCAGTTGATGATGTAACACTTTTCATTCTCTGACTGTCGTTCTGAATTGAAGAATATTCTTACCATATAGCAAACAACAACAGCAACCAAACAGAATTCAGCAAACGAAAATGGGAACAAACATTGTTTGTTGGAACGATTTGAGCAAAATCCAAAAAAAACCTTCGTCAGAAAAAAAAATTTGGGCTACTTTCTTCATAATTTATATCCAAAAAACCATCAAGCATCATCATTATTTTTTGTATGTATGTTCCAGATAGAATTTTTCACCATAATTTGGATTAAATTCGCCTTTGTTCTGTGTTTTGTTGTTGTTTGTTGCTCAACCATAACAACAACAACAATGAAAAGAATCAGAAGAAAAATAATATATTTTTGAATCATCAAAAATCATTTAGATGGACCATCCAAATTTGTAAGTGGAATTCGATTTGTTTTTCTCATTTTTCTATTAATTTTACTTTTTTCCCGAAAAAAAAATCCAATAATAGATTTTCATCGAATTACATGTGATCAATATGTGTATCATCATCAATAATAATAATGTTTTATAATTGGTTTAACAATTTACAAATTGATCATTTATTGATCATTATAATTATAATTATAATTATTATTATTCTTGTAATTATATTTATAATAATAAGAAAAAATTATCGAATATTTAAAACAACAACAAATAAATCATCATCACCATTATCATCATCAACGACATTATGTTGGTGTTGTTTGAAATCAAATCAACATAATGGTAACAACAATGGTGGTAACAGGATAAATTCATCAAATAAAGAACGTATTTCAAATGAATTGATAAAATCATTTTCATTCGATAATGATGATGATATTGATGCTGATCTGGATGATGATGATAATTTATCCGAATATTGTTATGATGAAGATGAAGATCTAATGAAACAGCAAACATTATCGAAAACACCACCACCACCACTGTTACCACCACCAACGACAATAACAACATCAACATCTATTCCTTCTTGTACAACCAAAATTTCCGATGATTATTATTATATTTCCAAATTGAATGAATGCCTTAATGAAACAAATCAATGGTATCGACAACAACAACAACAACAATTATCATTACAACATCGATCGAATATCATCGATCATCATCATAATCATCAATATTTATCATTAGAAAATGATAGTTTAATTCCAAGAACAGGAACGAATAAATTGACAAAAATTCAACGTCAAAATAGTATTTGTTTGAATGATGAACATATGATGAACACTAACACCAATATGACCACCGCCATCAACAATGATAATTTTAATAAAAATCGTTCACGTAATATATTAAAACAACAGGCAATTTATGCATCGATTGCATTGAAAAATAATACAAAAACATTTAATGAAATGTTTTTATCCGATAATGATAACAATAATAAGGATAATCGAAAGAAAACAACATCCATCATCAACCATAATCATAATCACAATAATGATCTAATATCATTAGCTGAAAAAGGTCGTATTGGTAAGCAAATATCAACCGATGGTTCATTATCAAGTGAAACTGGTAGTACAAATGAAGATGCAATTATTATTTTAACACAAAATAATCATCATACAAAACGTAATATATTAAAATGTTTAAAAAATGTTGAATCAAATGAAACAGCTGATTCATCAATAATAATTAAAGATAATAATAAATATCAAACATTAAATAATAATTATTATAATGATAATAATTATGAATCGGATACACAATCATCAAATTTACCGGATTTTTCACCAACAAATCCCCAACAACCGACATTATCTGAACAGAATATTTCAACAACCAAAGCAACAACAAAAATGATGATTAAAAGTGGTAGTAGTATTGGTGTTATTGGTGGTGGTAGTAAAAATGGTGGACGATTAGAAATAAGTTTTGCATATAATGTATCAAGTAAAAAATTATTTGTTACTGTGATTCAAGGTGATGAAATACCTTATAAAGATCAACATAAAAATGTTTTACAGATTTATGTTAAAATAATATTATTACCAAATAAGAAACAAAAATTTCGTACAAAATCCAAACCAATATTTTGTCCAATATTCGATGAAACATTTACATTCAATCGAATTAGTCCGGATGATATTTCTAATTTAGGTTTACGTTTTCGTTTATTTAGTATTGGTTTTACAAGAAAAACTTATCTAATTGGTAATGTTTGATTTTTTCATTCAATAATGTAATTCAAATTCAAATTTGTAATTTTGTATTTTACAATACAGGTGAAAGTCGTATATCGTTTGCATTGATAAAACCACAACAACAGGAAACCAAATTATGGTTTACATTGGATGTTCCGGCTAAAAGAAATCGGGTAAAAAAAAATTTTTTTTCTCTCATCACCAATCGATTCGATTTCATTGATTTTATTTGTTCTCTCACCATTTTCACTAAATATTAGTTATTAGATTTAGAATCATCAAGTCTAACAAGAACAGATAGTACATCATCACAATCATTACAGAATAATAGTTCACCGGAATTATTATTAAGTCTTGCATATAATGGTACAACTGGTCGATTAAATGTAACAATGATTAAAGGTAAAATCTTAAGGGAAAAATCTTTATTTAAAATCGATAAAATTTGATTTTTTGTTTTTTTTTGTTTCGTTTTGCAGGAAGCCAATTTCGTTGCCTATCAACACGTACACCGGATACATATATAAAATTATTACTTGTATCACAAAATGGTAATGAAATGGCACGTGGTAAAACACGTATATGTCGTGGACAACCAAATCCATTATTTCGTGAAACATTTGTTTTTCAAGTGGCATTGTTTCAATTACCCGATGTAACATTAATGATATTTGTTTATAATAAACGTAGTATAAAACGTAAAGAAATGATTGGTTGGATATCGCTTGGTTATAATAGTAGCGGTGATGAAGAATTATCACATTGGAATGATATGCGTGATAATAAAGGTGAACAAGTATCAAGATGGCATGTACTACATGAACCATAAAACAAACAATTTTCAACCAAAAAAAAGTCATATCTTAACAAACAAAAAAAATGATGTCAAAAATTTTTATCAAACGACGACGAATATTCCGATTCTATTTACCCAAATATTTTATCTTGCAAATTTTTTTTTTCGGATAAACATTTATCTTATCAAACAAAATTTTTTTTTTCTAAAACAAAAACAATTCCCACCAATCATACACTGGTGTGTGTGTGTGTGTGTTTTATTGATTCATCATCTCGATCATCATTTTCAATCATTTTCATTCATATATAGAATTTCTTATAAGAAAAAACTTACAAAACAGTATTCAAAAATTTCCAAGTTTTAGATTAGTTCAAGTGTGATTCTTTCTTTTTTTTTTTTATTTTGTGATTTATTTTTCGATTACAAATCAAAAATCAACCAACCAAACCAGATAAAACAGCAGAATTTATCCATACAAAAAATCTATAAATTATTGAAATGTTTTTTTTTGTTTTTAAATAATTAATTATTGTTATACCACCACAAAAAAGAAAAATCTAATTAATTAGTTTCATTCACTTTGTCGTTGTTGCCATCCATTTTTATCTTTCTCTTTCTATCTCTATCTCTATCTGTTCTTTTACTCGAAAAACAAAAAAAAAATTGTTTACACATTTGATGGTGAAGTTTACTTTTTTGTTTCGTTTTGAAAAACCAACAACCCAAAAACACACACATTTGGATTTATATTAATTGTTACAAATTAATTATTATATATTTATTATCTGTTCTTTTCTTTTCTCTCGATTTGATTTGAATGTGGTCGAATGAAGCCAAAAAAAAAGAAGAAATATATTTGAAAAAAAATCAAAAATAAAATATTTATAAAAACATACATTATTTATCATTATTATTGTGTTTCACATTCAAAAAAAAAGGTCAAAAAAAAGAATTTGCACTATAGTTTGTTGATTAATTCTACTAATCGATCCATTGATTGATTGATTGATTGATTCTATACGCATCCATATTCATACCAAATTGAATTTGAACCATTATTATTATTATTATTAGTTGTTGTAGTATTATTATCATCTGGATTTGTTAAAATAACATCATTTGTATTTGATTTTGGTGATGACATTGATATTGGTGGTGGTGATGATGATAATGATAATGATTGATCCGGTAATGATGATGAAGTAATCACAGTTTCAGTTGTTGTTATCGTATTATTGTTTGATAAATTATTTTGATTATTATTATTCATTGCATTACTAATCTGTATGCTAATATTATTATTATCATTATTAATTAGATTTAGATTGTTACTGTTTGTATTGAAACCATTCGATATTGTTTGTATACTATCACTTGTAATTGTTATTCTTGATCTTGTAGATACATTATTATTCATTGATATTATTGGATTATTATTACTACTGCTTGTTATCAAAAGTGAACCACCACCACTACCACCAACAACAATATCTTGATCTTTATCAATCATTATATCATGATTATGTGATGATGTTGTAGATGATGATGATGATGAATTATCTGAATGAAATGATAATGGTGACATTGGATTAAAATTTCTTTGTAATTGATGATGTTTTTGTTGTTGTTGTTGTTGCTGATTATTATTATTATTGACACGAACACGATTCGATGATAGACATAAAACTTGTTGCTGTGGCTGTTGTTGTTGTGAAGAATATTTATTATTATTTTGTAACATTTTCATATTAATTGGTTCCGATTTTCGCATTAAATTTCCATAATTAACACTATTACTTTTGAATGAACCTCTCATAAAATGATTATTTGTTGTTGATGATGATGATGATACTGGTGAACTAATTGTCGATATTGATTTGGCAATTTGAAATGGTGATGTTGATGTTATTTGTAATTTGGAAAATGTACCATCTATTATTGAATGATTATCCAATGATTTATTGTTGCCTTGTTGTTGTTGTTGATTATTTCGACTTGATATATTGATTGACATTTTATTTTCAATTGGAACAAATTCAATACAGCTAGTAGTGGTGGTTGTTGTTTCTTTTGTATTGATTCCAATCGGAGGATATCGTTGTAATGTATGCAAATTTCTTGGCGGAATCCTTGGTGATGAAATGATTTTCTGATCCTGTAAGAAAAAAAAACAAATTGAAAAATTGATTGAATTAAAAATTATCAACAAAAAACAAACCTTTTCATTATTAATCGAATACTGTCGTAGTAATGCTGAAGAATTGAAAAATTTTGAATCCGAATGAATGGATGGTGTTTCAGCTTCCCACAACAAGCCATAAATAGAATCATCAAGTCGATTGGATGATGATGATGATGTTTGATGTAAATTATTCGATGATTTATTATTCGATACTCTTGACATATTTTTTTCAAATGAAATATCATAATCTTTAAACATTTTTTCTAATCGTTCTTTTTTGATAATCAATTCATGTAATTTATCTTTAATTGTACGTTCACATCCACAACTTAATTCCATAAGTAGATCATTATATTGTGCCAATAGGCTAGCTGATTGTGTGGCCAATTTTTTACGTTGCTGTTCAAGTGTCGTATTTGTCATGGCAACCATTTCACAATAATTTGATAATTTTGATACTTCAACATTCAATGCATTCATACGATCTTTACATTCAGCTGTTTCACCTTGTAATTCAGTATGTTTTAATTTCAGATCATTATTATCTGATCGTAATTTTTTATAAATATTTTGTAACATTTTATGTTCAGTTTGTAATCGTTTATATTCTTCATCCAATATTTTATATTCATTATTTAATGATAAAAATTTTTCTTCATGATCAACATTTTCTTTTGTTGGCTGAGAATTTTTTTCCATTTCCAATCGTAATGTTTGTAATTCTTCATCAGCATTTTTCATTAATTCATCATATTTTGTCATTTGTACGTTTAATTTTTCTTCCATTGTTTTATAATCATTTTTCAATTTTTTATATGATTGTTTTAATGTGCCATGAATTTTTGTCAAATTTTCATAATCAACTTTAAGAAAAAAGAATGATAAGTTTAAAATAATTTCAACAACAACAACAACAAAAAAAACAACAAACCTGTTAATTGTTGATGAATTTCCTGCAATGATTCATTATCATTAATCAATAATCGATGTGCTGTTTCATATTCTTCACATTTAATTTTAAGTTTTTCAATCGAATCCTGAATGGCGACCATTTGTTCTTGTAATTCAATTGTTTGACTTTCAAGTGAACTATTCTGTGATTTTAGCAGGCTATTTTCTACTTCAAGTGTTGCATTTTTATTTTTCAATTCAGCATTCGATTCATTCAATGTTTGAAGTTTTGATTCGATCATATCATTTCGGATGGCTATTTCCATTTGATTATCTTTTTGTTGATTTAAATCAGTTTTTAGTTGATGATTTTCATCTTCCAATGCAAATATTCTTCGTTGTAATTCATTCAATGAATCTAATGATGATTTTATATCAGATTTTTCATCAATATTCAATTGTCGTTTAAGCGAATTGATTAGATTTTGCATTTCTTGATTACTATCTTTAAGATCAGCTAATCTTGCTTGTAATTCTTCAATATGTGAATCTTTTTCCGTAGAATATTTTTCAATTAATGATTGTAATGTATCATTAATAGCTGTCGATACTTGTCCATTAATTAATGAATAAATATCTTTTGAATTAATACGTAATTCATTATTGTCATAATTTTCTTCACATAATCGATTTAATGTTTCAACAATTTTCGTAAATTCTTCTGCAAATTTTTCTGTTTTAAGTTTTTCTTCAACTAAATCTCGTTGTAATGTTGTTAATGTTTTTCGCTGAACGGCTGAAGCATTAATTAAATCTTTATTTTCTTTTTCAACATCTTTCAATCGTTGTCCTAATTGCCAATTCATTTCCATTTCTTTTTTTAATCGTTTATTTTCCAATTCAAATGTTGATAATTTTCCTGAATTATCATCAATAATTTTATCTTTAAAATCAATAGATGTTTTTAATCGATTGATTTCTTTTTCCAATGATTTATTTTCCTGTTCAAAACGTTGTTTTTCCGTTTCCAAATTGGTCATTTCAATTTCTAAATCATTCAATTTTTTCAATGATAATCGTAATGAATCAGCATTGGACATTAATTTTTGATTTTCATTTTCAATCAATTCTAATTCAGATTGATATTCTTGTAATTTTTTTGTTTTCTGTTCAATAATTCGTTGATTTTTTTGATTTTCCGAAATTGTTTGTGTAAAATTCTTTTCCATCATATCAAATTTGGCACTAATATCTCGTAATCTTGTCTTTAGTTCATCATTTTCTTTTTCCAAAACATTTTTTTCCATTTCTTTTGTTTTCATTTGTACATAATTCAAATTAATTCTACCAATCCATTCTTTAATTTGACTTAATTTTTCAATTTTACTTTTAACATTTGAATCATATCCACTTTCATTAGTTTCCGATAATGTTTCATCATCATCTTGTTTTGCTTTTGAACATTTATTCATAGCAATACTATCGATATTTTGAAATAATGATAATACTGAATCAATATCAATATAATTATTTTGATAATCATCAACCATTGTTTGTAGTTTTTTATTTTCATGTTCTAATTTTAATAATCTTTTCGATGCATCTTGATTAATTTGATCATAAAGATTTCCCTCTTCATTTTTCATTATTGTTTCATGATTTAAACGCATTTGGGCACGTAAATCGGTTAATTCTTGTTGTATACGATTAAATTCTTCATTTGTAAATTTTTTCTCCAATCTTAAATGTGAAATTTCTTCAATTAATCTTTCGATTTGATTTTTATCCAATTCTCGTTGTAAATTTAATTCATTTCCATGCGTCGTTAATTTGAGTATTTTTTCCTCTAATTCGGGTATTTTTTCAACACGTTTACGGCTTGATTCTAATTGATCTTCTAACATTGTTTTTGTTTCACCAAGTATACGATTATCTTCACGTAATTCTTCTACACGTGTTTTACAATAATCAAGTTCATTGATTTTATCACGATAACGTTGTACTTCTGCTTCAAGTCTATCAATTTTTCTACAACGTTCATTTAGTACATCAATCTCATCACGATATGCTTTGGCTGTTCTTGCTTCTTGTGTTAATTCAAGATTATCATGTCTTAATTTATTATAAAATTCTTTATTCTGTTCAATTGTTTCTTTTAATTCGGTAATTATTTCATTTTTTTCCTCTAATTCTTGTTGTAATCGTCTTAGTTTTGATTTAACATCAGCCAATTCAACTAGATAATGAGATTTTTGATCACAATGATTAACAGAATTATTATTATTTTGTAGACTAGAATTATTTGATGATGATTGATCAAATTGATTGGCCTGTATTGTTAAACTAAGCATTTCTGATGATAGATCAACAACACGTTGATATAATTGATCACGTTCATTGGTTAGCCTATTTATAAGGCCAACCATTATCATATAAATACGTTCTTTTTCCTCTTCATCATCTGGTGGTATATTCCATTCGGACATTAAAAATACTGATTCTGGATTATCAGTTATCTGTTGTATACATTCAACAATTGAATGCTGTACAGATATATCTAATTGTTTAATTTTTTCAATAAATATTTCTTTATGTTCACATTGTACAGCACAACCAAGTATTAATAATAATAATGTTTGCAGATCATCATAATAATTATATGTTGATGTTGTTGTTGATGTAGATGTTGTTGCTGCTGTTGTCGTTGATGATGATGATGTTGATGATGATTGATAATATTGATTCATTAAACTAAATAATGAATTATTCTGTGATATCGATGATGACCATAATTCATCATTACATTGAAATGCAATTCTTGTTACATCCGGTAAACGTAATACTAATAATTGATCTAAAACATTTTGATAAAAATTTTTTATATTTTGTAATAAAATATTTAAATTTTTTATCCGTTTTGATGAATTGGCAATTTCTGTATTTATTGCCGATGTTGTTGTTGTTGTTGATGATATTGAATCTTGTATAATGTGTAATGGATTTGAATCGCTATGAATATCGTAAAAACGACAAACAAACAATTAAAATAATGATTTGATTCAAAAAATAATCACTTACATTTGAAGCCATGCTTTATTAAGATAGAATCCTTTACATAAATCATCATAATCATTACAATTTTCATCCAATAATGTTTTCAGCTATTATAAAAAGAAAGAAAAGAGAAATTACAAACAAAAAAAACAATTATTCAAAAATGGATTTTACAAATTTCATTCAAAAAAATCAAAATCAAAAACTGATTAATAATTTCAAAGTGAAACCAAAAAAAAAGAGAAAGAAATCCACTATCATGACATGAATGATAATGAATTTTCAGTTGGTTTTTTTCCATTCTCCAGCAAAAATCAATTATTCATCAATAATGTTCATTCATTCATTCATTCAATAGATTAAATATGTGTATGTAATTTTTAGCCTAATCATGATGATTATGATAAAAACTTTGTAAATCGACCTAAATTGATAAACAACAAACTAATCTTCTAATTAGCTATAATTAATTAATTGAAAACCTTTAAAAAATCAAGTCATTCGATTTATCATTTTCGATTTGTCATTATCATCAATGACACATTGGATTAGTTTGTTTTTCTACCGAAAAAAACAGAAACAAAAACAGGAAAAATTCATAACTTGATCTCCAAAAATAGTCAAACTACAAAATATGAATAATTCAATTGTGGTTTCTCTGGTTGATCAACTGCTACCTATATTTTATTTGTATCCAGAAAAAGATCATCATCAATTGGATGAAGAGAATCAAACCGGCCATTGTTTTTAGTTAATGAATCAGAACAGAAAAAACAAAACAAAACAAAACAAAAGAAAAATAAATATTGATGATGATGACCATCAAGACACATTGGTAAACACATAGGTAAACTGGATTTATAAATACACGAAAAATATTATTATTATATGGAAAACATACCCAAGTAACAAGTGGACTTTGCATAAAACTTGTTCGTAATTGTTGTTGGATGCTCATCATCGTTCGTTCGTTTTTACGTTGTTGTTGATTTCTTGAACACAAAAAAAAATTTTCTGGAAGAAAAATGATTCGATGAAAATCAAATGCAGAGATTTCTTGCTTTGTTGAGGGATTATTATTCAAACAAAATATTATTTAGAGCACATTTTCATTATTGAAAAAAGTTATCGAGTCAAATCGATCAACTAAAACAACAACAACAACAAATTATCATTTATTCAATTGATTTTATTCAATTTGATTGATTGATTGATTGATTGATCGGGGCAAGCAAAAATTAGTGCAAAAGGATTTCGTTGAAAACGATATAAATAACTTTGTATAAACAGAAAATCAACAACAAAAATATGGAAAAAAAACAAAACGATGGAATTTTGAATTTTAAAAAACAAAAAAACAAAAGATTCTTATTTCGAATCCCAAAACGACGAAGAAGAAAAAGATTCGAAATCTATTTACACACAGAATGATCTTGTATTCGATTCTGCTATTTTGACGAGAATCTCTCCCAAAAACAAAACAAACACTTTTTTTCGATTCACGAATTTCGGTTTTTTGTTGATTTCGTTGTTTGTTGTTTTCGTTGTAAAATAAATTGATGATTCTATTTTTTTTTCATTAATTCGTTCGTTGAATTACACCACACACACACACACACAAACGGGCAAAAATGTTTTACGAAAGTCAAACAAAAATTGAGAGAGAAAAACAACAAACAAACAAACGAAAAAATTCATATAACGAAGAGACCCGAATCTTTTTTCTTTCTCTCTTTATTATCATTTTACCATGGTTTCACGAATATATCGAAGAGAGAGAGAGAGAGTCATCCATCCATTCAACACAACCAATACACAACGAAATAAAAACAGACCACCATTAGCCAAAACCAAAACAACGAAGAAGACGATAACGAAGATACCAAATCCAATATTACGCATGCGCATAAATTCTACAATCAAAAAAATTTTGTAATTTTTTTTTGTTTCAAATCTTTATATAAAAAAGGGGTCTTATTTTTTCTGGTTACCGGATTGTTTCCGGACAAACTGGCTTTTGCTTCAATGGTCGATGGCCGTTGATCGTAGTGGTGGTGGTTGTTGTTGTCGTTTGTTTAGCTAAAGTAATTCAATTTTTTTTTCTACTTAAATCTATAGACAGTGGTCGAGTGGTGGTTGCATGTGTGTGTTCATTCATCCGTTGTGAACATGTTTCATATGAAGAAAAAAGGGCAGTTTTTTTAAATTCAATTCAGAAAAACTTGTCCATGTCGATTGCCGATCGTTGTTGTTGTTGTCGATCGTTGTTGTTGTTGTTGTTGGTTTGATGGTTGCAATCACCAACGACAACAACAACAACCCAGGATAAGTAATAATTTTTTGAAAAACATGTTTGTTTGAATCACCTGTCCGCCAATAATAATGATGATGATTGCCGAATAGGTAATGTGTCTATAGATGCTATAGCTAGAAAATCATTTGAAGAGAAATCCAATATGCAGAGACAATACTTGAGGTGATGGGCGATTTCTCCTTTCTCTCTCTCTCTCTCTCTCTCTGAAATGACAATGGGATTTTTTTTTCATTCAGTGTGTTTTCTTCGAAACAAAAATCGAGTTAAGCTTTCAAATAGAAAAAAAAACATCCATTGTTTTTTGTTTTTTGCTCTAAAACTTAGTATAGTTTCAAATTTCAAGATCCTTTTCAAATAATGATCATTATTGTTGTTTCAATATTGAAGTTGAACAGCTGTTAACCATACATGTGTTGAAACATAATGAAATCAAAACGAGTAAAAAAAATTAGTAATGATAGGCGGTTGTGTGATGGGAGAAAGGTTTGTTTGCGATACATTTTTTTCGAAGAAACAAAACGAAACAGGCAAAAACAATCGATCAATTAATTGATCGATTGATTTGATTTTTGTGAGAAAGTTTTCAGAAAAACTTCAACAAACACACCCTACACTATCCATTGACAGAAAAAAATGCCCGAAATTTTTCCTGGATGATCATTTTCAAGAATTTCCTGAATGGTTTTGTTTGGTAATTAATCTGACGATAAAACAATGTTATTCCGTTTGTTTTCCCCTGCATTGTTTGTTTGTTTATTTTGTTTTGTTTGTTATGTTTGAAATAAAAAAAAAACAATGGAAGGATGTTGTCATTTTTGGTCGTTCGTTATGTTCGTTCGCTGTGTGTCATCTTCATCACGCACATTTCATTTGCATCGTTTATTTTGGATGACGAAGAATCGAACAGGTGTACCATGAATTTTGTTCCGACAAAAATGGAAATTTTTCCTTATTTTTCTGTTGATTTTTTCAAAAGAAAAAAATCCCGCGTTTTGAAAAATTTTTGAAAAAAAAATTTTCTCTGAAAGTTATAATCACCATCGATAGATGGCGACAGCTGAACCATGTTGTAGATTTAAAAAAAATCAATTTTTAATCTGGAAAACCTGCTTATCACCAAAAGAAAAGCAATTGAAAAAGATAATGATAATTGGATGGATGGATGGTGATTAACTCTCAAATTTTATGGTTTCCATTATTTCATTATCCATTATTACACGTGTATCAATGACAACAACAACAACAAAATTTGGTTTAAAAAACAAAACAATTTTGAGGATGCATCGAAAACCACCGACAACAACATTTTTGGCCACTATTTTGATTGTTTTGGTCAGTTTTGTCTATTCCGAATCAAACGTGGATGTTGATGATGGACGATCAATTCTTTTTGATAAAAATATCGAGTAAGTTTCCCTGGAAAACTTGAAAATAATAATTAACATGAAAAATTGACGGAAAATTTCCTTAAATTTAGACACATTCGTCATGATTTTAAAGAACAATTTCATTTTGATATTGGTGATGATGGTGATGGTGATAAACAACAACAACAACCAAATGAAGATGATATGATTTTCTATAATTTCCGTCTACATGATTATGATAATAATCTTCAATTGGATGGTCTAGAAATTCTTGCATCAATTTATCATGAATCAGAATCAACATTAACCAATGATGTTAAACAAAAGGTTTGTCTAATTTTTGATTTTTAACTTCTGTAAAAACTTTCTGTAAACTTTCTTGGAAACTTTCTCAATTTTTTTTCCCTGTAAATTTTCTTCAAATAAATAAAGATGACCAACAATGAAATTCATTCATATTGGCAGGAAAAATTTGATCGTGATGCAGGTAAGATTTTTTTTTGTTTTGTTTGGGAAATTTCCCAAAAAGAAATTTTCCAAAAAAACTTTCTCAATCTATTAATTCTCATTTTATAATAATCTTTTTTTTTGTTTAATTACTAAATTAGATAAAATTGATCAAGTTTTTAAAATTTTCGATCTAAATAATGATGGTTTTATTTCATATGGTGAATATCTTTATAGTTTTAAGAAATAAAAATTTGTTTGTAATTTTTTTGTAAAATTTCATTTTTTACAAATAAAAATTTGTAATTTTCAACAATATCCAAAAAATGCTAATTTTTGCAACTAAAATCGTTTTTCTGGTTTTCTCAAAAACAATAATGATCGACATAGACACTATTCGACATTTTGAAAGAATTTTTGATTCGTTTTTTCGTTTTTCGTTTTTTCAATTTTCAGCAATGATGATCAGCAGCAGCAGCAGCAGAAGCAACCAAATATCACTATGTGTATAGTTGCTGGTGTCTACAGAATCTAAAAATGATGAATCCCCATATGAATTTAAATGAGTTTTTTTTTGTTTTGTTTTCGCTTTTCGGTTGTTGCCCAAAAAAAAAATTCTGCTGCTTCTTCTGATGATGATTCTGTTTTATATGTCTGTGTTCTGTGTGCGTGTTGATTGGAATTGGAAATTCAGTAAATTAGCGAAAAAGAAGAAGAATCAACCCAAGAGAGAGAGAGAGAGAGAGAGAGAGAGAGAGAGAGAGAGAAAGAGAGAGATAGCGAGAGATAGTTGGCGAGAATGAGAAGTTCAGTTCAGTTTTTTTTTATTTTGGGATGTTGGAATTTAGATGATGATGATTCCCTTTTGCATTTTTCTCTGGCCAAAAAGAAAGAAACAAATTCTGTGTATGTGTGTGAAAGAATGTTTTTCATCATGTTTTATAGTGGTGATAATGATAGAGAAATGATTGAGAAGGATGATGATGATGGAAAATGAACTCAACCTGAATTGTAAGTTGAAAATGATGAATGAAAAACGAAGTATGGAACGATTCTTCTTCATCATCACCAATCATCATCATTACAATTTGGAATAATTCACAGAATACACACACACACAGAATATTCTCTCATCACTTTTTCGCATTTGCTTCTTTGTTTGCTCATCTTTTTCGCCCTATTGCAATTTGGAAAAGTCAAAAAAAAAAAAAATTTTTTTTGTTACAAAACAGAAAAACATGAATAAATTGGCTTTATCTGAATGAGAATGTGGATGACCAAAAACAGAGTTTTCAGTTTTCATTTTGTTCGCTGGTTTTGGCTTTTGGTGAAAATTCCATGAGTTGTTGTGGTTTACTGATCTGATGACATTTCAATTACTATGAATATGAATAATATCATTCAGCAGAAAAAAGATTTGAAATGTTTGGTTGGTTGACTGGCTAGTCTAGTGATGATGTTCACAATATTCATTCATTCATTCTTTTAGAATCAATTGGGCGTGAATGGAGATGAAAATGGAAAAAGCAAAAAAGCAAAATGAATTTTGAGCTCAGGTGTTTGCTATCAGATCAAAAGAAAGAAAAAAAATACATTTTTTTCCCCATACACGGAGAAATATATTGTATTTTTATGTGAAACGGGGGAGATGAAGAGGTGGGAAATGATTGTTTGCTTGTCAAAATGATCTCTTGGATCCTATTTACATCATACAATTCTACAGATTGAAAATGAGAATATATTCTTGAAGAAAAAAAGGAGATAAGTAGAATTCAAGAAAAGAAATGGCAAAACAATCAAAAAATGATAGAATCTGTTGTTTTTTACGATAATTGATTTGTTTCTTTCGTTGTTTTGTTTGGCTAAAAACAAAATTGAACGAAAAAAAAGGATGCCGAACATGACAATAAATGTGCTATAGTTATGTTTTTCCATTTCCAAAAATCATCAATATCACACATTTTTTTCACGTGCACGTGTTTCATGTTTTCCACACACAAAACAACACAGAGGCACACACTATTCATTCATTCATTCATTCATTCAACTAAAGAACCTATTCTCAAATTACACTTGATCGGTCACTTTTTCACTTGCATTTGCATTTGAATTTGAAATTCAAATTCATTCATCGAATGAATGAATGACAAACTGAGAGAAACAAGTCACTTGTGTTTCGAGCAACAAAAAAATCCATTTGTTTCGATCACGACCCGATGTTTGATGACGTTGTCAATGTGTCGATGATGATGATGATGATGATAATTCAATGATGATATTTTCAAAAGATTCAAATTACCGACCTGCTGGGCGGGACACCTGCTGTTGGTTGATTGGTTCGGTTTTTCGTTCAAATTTCAAATCCGACGGATACATTTCGATTTCGGATTTTCGGGGACATAACGTACGAATGATCGTACGCGTGTACGGAACAAAAACGTGTACAATTATCATCATCATCATTATCCACTATTTCAACACCAAGTGTGTCCAACCATTTCGACCATTTCAACCATTGTTTGAACCCCCCATGGTAATTAATAAAGAACAAATTTTTTTGTTGTTGTTGTTGTTATCGTTTGTTTCATTCAAGTGATGTTAAACATATTTTTCTTGCACCTGTAAAACAAATGAATTACAGAATTTAAATGGTGAAAAAAAATGGAAAATTTCATTTGATAAAAACAGAATATTCTTGACTTTTTTTTTTGTTGATTACATATCTTTGATTATTTAATCATTTAATTCTACTAAAGAATTTTTTTTTTGTTTTTTGAATATAAATTCTCTATAACGAATCAGAACCTATATATATAAAAATGAAGCGATGAGATGTGGATGGGGAAATATTCTGGAAAAGAAAATTTAAGGAAAAATTTCCCGACTATAAATGATGATGATGATGTCGTAATTGCATACAAATACATCGTTCATCTTCGGTTGAAAGTGAATTTTTTTTTTGCATTCTTTGCATCCATTTTTTTCCTACTTCATCATCATCATCATCGTTGCTGTCTATTTTGGATGGATGTTTTTATTCGGAATGTTTTCTCTCTCTCTTTGGGTTTTTTTTCCACGAATGTTTTTTTTTCTGACTATAATAATAGTTTTTCTTTTTTTTTTCACTGATAAAAGTGAATGTCTAAGTTGCTAAAATGCATTTAATGGATTTAATCTACAACAACAACAACAACAACAACAACAACAACAACAACAACAACAACAGAAACATCCAAATATCTTTCTACTTGATACTCAAAGTTCTCTTAGTTTCTCTCTCTCTCTCTCTCTCTCTCTCTCTCCCGTCAA